ATTTGCAACCCCTGAGATCACTTCCTCTCCTCCCTATAACTTCTTCCCAGCCCTGGCAGCACAGGAGGCCCCCTCCAGAACATCCACGTGGGAACGCTGGGGTATTCTTGAAATTTCCCCTCCTCCCCAGTCTCTGCCCTAGAGCTGCTTGAAAGCAAAGAACTCTTTGTTCTGGATCTCCATTCACTTCCTTCCCTTTCACTTCCCTGTCCTCCCACCCCTGCAAGCCCCACTGTCTCTGTTACCAAATTCTAAACAGCCTCATTTGGAAGAAAGGGCTGATTTAGCCAAGGTTTCTCCTTCATTGTTTCATTTGTAGGCAGTGCCCTCCCTCCTCCTTCTCCTCTTTAATCTTTTCTGTCCTCCTGGCCTGGGCCTTTGTCCCCTGCACTCCAGCCTCCCAGAGCTCTGGGTTCCTTAAGATGCTAATCACACTTGGTTTTCTTCTGGTGCCAAGAATATTTCTATTTATCAAGCCACAGCAGACTTTGCCTTGGGGAGGGACACATACAAGGGCAGGAACACTTTCCACTCCTCGGGGCAGTTTCTCTTTTTATTCCAGGACTGTCTTTGTTTGGTTCCTCGGTGTCTTTTAGGGCTTTTGAATGCACAGGTTGCCTGATCCTGGTCTCCTTTTGTACTGGGTGTAGACCCAATCAAGCTGCAGTGTACTGCAGAATTACTGACCCTTAAGTTAGAAAGGAGATTCAGGTTTGTTTGAGCCTGTCAAGGTGGTATTATTAGGGGGTGCATGGGTGGCCAGTGGTCGAGCGTCTGCCATTGACTCAGGTTGTGATCCCGGGGTCTCCTCACAGGGAGCCTTTCTCCCCCTGCCTACGTCTCTGCCCCTCTCTGTGGGTCTCTCATGAATAAATACATTTTTTTTTTTAAATGTGGGGCAGCCCTGGTGGCTCAGTGGTTTAGCACCACCTTCAGCCCAGGGACTGATCCTGAGACCCGGGATCGAGTCCCACGTTGGGCTCCCTGCATGGAGCTTGCTTCTCCCTCTGCCTGCGTCTCTGCCTTTCTCTCTCTCTCTCTCTCTCTCTCTCTCTCTGTGTCTCTCATGAATAAATAAATAAAATCTTAAAAAAATAAATGTGGTATCATTAGTTGTTTGAATTCCCTCTACCTCCTTTGGGGGGTTTCCCCAGAAGGAGATGCAAGATGAGGATCCCAATGCATGTGGTTTCTGCAGGAGAGAGGCAGTGAGGTGGCTGAGAGAAGGCAGCCCCTAAGGGAGGGGATTTTAAGCCAGTTTCTACAGTGGGAAACTGTGGCCCAGTCCCTGTGGGAACCCTGGGAAAGGTGTAGAACATGCCCTCAGTGGGATGGTGAGGAGCTGGGTGATGCCACAGGCCAGAGAGACACTTCCTTTTGCACAGAGTGTCTTGACCTGGCTTTGGAGCAAGTCCTCAGGCAAAGAGATGCAGACAGGGCAGCATGAGGGGGAAGCAAGCGAGGTGCCCAGGGCACCCACCTCTGCAAGGTGCTTGCTCTTGGCATCCTGCGGCTGAGCGTGGCATCTCCTTGAATTCTGCATGCTGGGTGCCTCGCCTGCTCACCCTAGTCCCAGCCTTGGATGCCAGGCTGCCTGCTGGTGTCACTGCACACCAGGTGGTGAGGCCACGGGGTGTGGGTGGGACAGGTGCCGGCAGTATCTTCTGCACCCCCAGTGATGGAGTACATTCCCTTTCATTGTTTTCCCTTGCTACCCTTCTGAGACTCAGCTATCATGGGGGACAGGAAGGTTTTTGTCTTGTCTGTCTCTGTGTCCCGACTCTCGGCCCCCACTCAGGCTCAGGAGCATCTTGCTTCTGCAATGGTATATCATTGCTCCCTGTGTCATTATGCGCCAGTCTGCTTCCCTCCCTGCTCCCTGACTATTCTCTGTTTTATCTCTGAAGCCAGAAGGGAGAGGCCCATGGCGGAAGCCCTTTGGGGTCTTACAGAGAGTCTGCTTTCCAACATTTAGTTCCTCTGTACTGAGCCCCAACCATATGCCAGGTTTGGGGACACAGAAGTACAGTCATCTGCCTGCTGTCACAGAACATCTATTCCAGTGATGAAAACAGTCAGCCAACAGTCATCCAAATGCCTCTCAAATCACAATGCTGATGAGGGTTAAGGAGAAGATAGGTACTGTGCCCAAAGAGTGAATAATGGGGTTTTGACCAAATTCAGAAGGTCAGAAGAATTCCCTGAGGACATGGTGACCAAGAAGGATCTGAAGAATAAGTAGAATTTAGTAGAGCAAAGTGAGGCGGGAAGAGCACTTAGATAGAGTGAGCAGAATGTGCGAAGTCCCTGTGGTGTGAATGAGCACAGAAAGCTCAAGGGATTGAATAAAGACCAGTGTGGCTTAATGGGGGAAACCAGGATGGGGAGGACAGTATGAAATAGGAGTGGAGAGGTGGCTGAGGGCCTTTGCATAAGGAGTGCTTTGCTTCGATGTGGATGGAGCTGGAGGGTATTATGCTGAATGAAATAAGTCAATCCCAGAAGGACAAACATTATATGGTCTCATTCATTTGGGGAATATAAAAAAATAGTGACAGGGAATAAAGGGGAAAGGAGAAAAAATGAGTGGGAAATATCAGAGAGGGTGACAGAACATGAGAGACTCCTAACTCTGGGAAATGAACTAGGGGTGGTGGGAGGGGAGGTGGGCAGGGGGGGTGGGGGTGACTGGGTGACGGGCACTGAGGGGGGCATTTGACGGGATGAGCACTGGGTGTTATTCTATATGTTGGCAAATTGAACACCAATAAAAAATAAATTTATATATAAAAAAGAATGAAAGAAAGCCATTTGAAAGGTTTTCAGTAGGAAAGCGACATGATCCAATTCCCATTCTGAGGCGGTCTCTCTGGCTTCTGTCAGAGATCAGATAGGTGGAAGCTGAGGGTCAGATTAGATGTGCAGCAGCAGGAAGAAGGCTGGGCAGGGTCCAGGTGAGAGCTGACAATAGCTCGGGCAAAGGTGCTGGCTGCCGAGGATGTGCAGGAATGTCTGGAAGATAGACGGGTGTGGATTTTGCATGGATACCTGGCCCAGGCTGGATATCCTTATCTCTTGGGGAGGCAGGGTCTCTTCGCTGTGCTCTAGCCATTTATCTTTTTTCTTATCTGTGCAACCCCCTGGGAGGAAGACATTGTTGCACCCATTTTACAGAGACGACTAACGTTTGGCATGATCACCTAAGGTCTCACAGCCTAATTAGTGGCCCCTATGTAAACTCACAGTCTGAAAGGGGGGACAGACAAGTGGCCAGATATTGTAAGACATGGTATGCACGGTGCTCGAGCAGAGGATGGCCAGAATGAGCAGCTGCCTGCCCAGCTCCGTGGGAGCAGAGCCTGGCTCAGCAGAGGCCCACGCGTCACGGGTCTTAATAACACACTTCCTGATTGTTCGAGCATCTCCAACACTTCACTTGCAAGAAATCTTGCTGCCTGCATTATTCTCTTCCAAGAGACAAATTATAAATGTTGTTCTACCATTCATAGCCCATGCCTAAATCAGCACAGGAAACAGCTAAGCTAAAACTTCTGCCTCTTTCTTCCTTTGCAAGCTGCCTGTATCTTACGCTTTCTTCCTCCAATTTTTTTTTCTTAGGCAATGTCTAGACAGTTAAACAAAACAAAACACTGAAGTGTGCTAGAAATAATTTGTTATTTGGGATCTTCCCCCGCCCCCACTCTGTTTTTGGCTAGATGGGGTAATCCTGAGAGCTGAGGCTAGAAATGCTCTGCGCACAATTGGTGAGATATCCAAAGGTCCAGGTGGAGTACACCATGGCAAAGGCTGTTGTCAACTCTTGTTCTAATCAGACCATGCGCTCAACATTTTGTATGAGGTAACTTTGTCCTCTCTATATTTATGCTGCTTTGAAGGCTGAACATACCAATATTTGGCAGTGATAATACTGTGTGACCTATGTCTGGTATGCAGTCCCACTGTAGTATCTCTCACCCTCACAGTCTAGCACTGAAAATTATGCACAGTCACACACAAATGTTGGCACTACCCTTGTTCAGGCCTCACCATCCATAGCTGGGACCACTGCAGTAGCCTCTGGGCTAGTCCCTCTGCCTCCAGTCTCTCCCAATCTAATCCACCCTCCCAATCAGCTACCCTAGTGATCTTTTCTTTTCTTTAAGATTTTATTTATTTATTTATTTATTTATGGGAGACACACAGAGAGAGGCAGAGACACAGGCAGAGGGAGAAGCAGGCTCCATGCAGGGAGCCCGACACTGGGACTCGATCCCGGGTCTTCAGGATCAGGCCTTGGGCCGACGGGCAGTGCTAAACTGCTGAGTCACCTGGGCTGCTCCCTAGTGATCTTTTCAAAATGGACATCAGATCATGCGTATCTCCCCACCAACCCAGCTCATTTCATGTCTGCAGATGGGGATTCAGTGATTTGTGATTAAAATAAGATGTTATTATATATCTGTACTGCTGTACTGCTCATCAGTGACCACAAGAAACTAATTCTACAGCTAAGAGTAATGCTGCCAAGCACTGTGCAAAGGGCTACATACCTTTATAAAATGGCCCTGTCTTTATATCTCTTTCAAGGGAAGAAACTGGAACTTTCCCAGGGCCCCACAGCTGGGATAGAAGCTCAGGTGGTCTGACTCCATAGAACTCTTAACTGCTCCGCAACACTGCCTTCATCAAACCATGTATCAGGGGTTATTATAGGAATGTTAAAGCTGTTGTTGAGAAAAAGGCAATGACCTTGCATGCTTCCCCTACTTCTGACAAAACATGCTTTCCTCCTGCAGGTCTGGTGCCACCAAGTGTCTTGGCCCATGCATGCCCTGCGTGGTGACACTCACCTTACAACACCTGCCCCCCTTGCAGTGGGGCCAGCAGCAGTCATGATGCCTTAAACCCACAATGCCTTAAACCCCTCTTGTGTCACCAGAATAGCCTTGGGCTCCTCTGAACCCTGAGCTGGTTGCTCCCCAAACCCTCAGGGCTCTTACAGGATATGATATTTCCATATCGATTCTTATTGCGGTTTTCGTCCTCTTTGGCTGTGTCCCACGAAGCTGTCTGCCCTTCTGGTAAGGCCTAAAAAGGAAGGATAGAGTGGTTAGAATGGCCTGAGATAGGGGCTTTATCCATGTGCCAGGGGGAAATCAGATCCGCTGGGATGGTTAACTCAGTGTAAAGGACTCTGTGTACTTGGATGTGGCCTAGGGAGAAATAGACGTGGCCCCTCCATGGACTTACTCATTCACTGACTCAAATGTTATTGATTCCTTCTGTGTGTCATAAGCTCAAATCTGGCCCTGTGGCAGAGTCATTTGCTTACTAACTCATTTATTCATCTGACAGATATTTATTGAGTCCCTAATAGGTATTTGGCACTTTTGTAGGTACTTGGGATATAGAGAAATAGACAAAGTCCCCTTTGAGCTTCCAGGCAACTGGGTGATTCCACAAGTCAAAGAGCAAATGTATATAATTTCAGATTTTGGAAAGTGCTGTGAAGAAAATTAAGCAGAGAGAATGGATAGTGATGCAGGACAAGAATTTCTTCAGATTATACAGTCTTGTAGGGCTTCTCTGAGAGAGTAACAGTTAACCTAACTCTTATTGATGTGAAAAAGTTGGGCCAAAAGCAGGACGTGCTTTCCAGGCAGAGGGAACAGCTGGTGCAAAAGTGGTAACCAATGACCGTATTCAAGGGTGAGGCAGGGAGAGTAGTGGTGGGAGCATCTGGACTGGCTCTATAAGGCACTGTGGTCATGGGTAACGAGTTGGATATTATTCTAAGTGAGATGGGAAGCCATTGGAGGGTCTTGAGCAGTGCAGCTGGCTGAACTGATTTATGTTTTATAAAATACATTCTGGCTCATGTATGGGCTATAGGCTCTAGGAGGCCTGGCAGGGAAGTCAGGAGATCAGTTAGGAGCTTGTTGCAATATCCCAGGTACGAGATGATGGTACCTTGGACTCTTTACCAGGATGGTGGCAGCAGATGTAGTAAGAAGTGATATTTTTAGGATGTTTGGTTGAATATTGTAGATTTGGGTTCCCCCAGAAGCAGACTTGGAAACAAGGATTTGAATATGAGATCTTCTTTGGGAGGTAGCCCTAAGGAGTATGGAGGGGAAGAGTGGGGGAAGTGACGCAATCGAGGGAAGGAAGTCAGTACAGGGTACCTCAGTGAGTAAGTCACCACAGTGTATACCTGGGTTTTAATCTCACGGACCTGTTTCATGTTGGGGTATTTACCCACTAATTCCCATCAACTATTGATTGATTGATTGATTGATTGATTGACTTAGGAAATCCTTTAGCACCTCTGCCATGCTCTGCAGTTAAGCTGCATATTCTTTAAGAAAGTCCTTGGGCAACAATCCACAGGTGCTTCCTGAGTGTGGGCATTGGGTAAGCATGCGTGGGAATGCCGAGTATAGAGGGGACACAGGCAGGCCACCTCATCTATTGTTGAGTATGGACTATGAAGGCTGATTTCTAGACTGTTAGCTTGAAGAGCTGAGTGGAGAGCTGTGGCATTTGCGGAGATGGAGAAGAAGTACATGGGGAGAAAGAACTGGGCAGGAATGAAGTGTTGTGTTTTGGGTCTGTTAAGTGCTTAGAAGAACACCTGAGTGCTTGCTGAGTGCAGTGTGCAGCTTGACACATTCCACCCAGTAACAACAGCATCAGCAGCTATATTTGAGATGACTATTTGACATCCAAGCTGAGATGCTGAATAGGAGGTTGGACGTAGAAGTTCACAGTCAGAGCTGGGGGAGAAAAGGGCTGAGAGTCATCAACCCAGGAGGAGACAGACAAGTCAACAGCCATGTGGAATGATCAACAGTTATGAGCCAAGTGTTATAGAAATGGGAGGGTGCACCCAATGTTTCTAGCAGCAATGTCCACAATAGCCAAACTGTGGAAGGAGCCTCGTGTCCATCGAAAGATGAATGGATAAAGAAGATGTGGTTTATGTATACAATGGAATATTACTCAGCCATTAGAAACAACAAATACCCACCATTTGCTTCAACGTGGATGGAACTGGAGGGTATTATGCTGAGTGAAGTAAGTCAATCAGAGAAGGACAAACAGTGTATGTTCTCACTCATTTGGGGAATATGAATAATAGTGAAGGGGAATATAAGGGAAGGGAGAAGAAATGTGTGGGAGATATCAGAAAGGGACACAGAACATAAAGACTTCTAACTCTGGGAAATGAACTAGGGGTGGTGGAAGGGGAGGAGGGCGGGGGGTGGGGGTGAATGGGTGACGGGCACGGAGGGGGACACTTGACGGGATGAGCACTGGGTGTTATTCTGTATGTTGGTAAATTGAACACCAATAAAAATTAATTTATAAAAAAAGAAAAAAAAAAAAGAAATGACAAATACCCACCATTTGCTTCAACGTGGATGGAACTGGAGGGTATTGTGCTGAGTGAAGTAAGTCAATTGGAGAAGGACAAACATTATATGTTCTCATTCATTTGGGGAATATAAAAAATAGTGAAAGGGAATAAAGGGGAAAGGAGAAAAAATGTGTGGGAAATATCAGAAAGGGAGACAGAACATAAAGACTCCTAACTCTGGGAAATGAACTAGGGGTGGTGGAAGGGGAGGAGGGCGGGGGGTGGGGGTGAATGGGTGACGGGCACTGAGGGGGACACTTGACGGGATGAGCACTGGGTGTTATTCTGTATGCTGGTAAATTGAACACCAATAAAAAATTAATTTATTAAAAAAAAAGAAATGGGAGGGTGCAGAGAAGGAAGATGGGCACTTAAGTGAGCAGGAACAGCTGTAGGAAAGCTGCAGAAGCATGAAGGTTGGGCTGTGTTTGGATTCATGCTTCCACCCTGTACCCAGCAGAGTGGGCTCATAGGCCCCCGCACTGCTTCTGAGGCTGGGTTTGCAATACCTTCCGTCTATACAGCTTGATGTCTGTGGTGCAGGGAAAAGGAGCATCCACTCATCTTATTACACTGGCCTGCCTTTGCCCATCCATCCCTTTCTAGGTTCAGCCTAAACAAGCAGTCTGTAAGCCCAGTGGTCACAAGTGCCACCAATCAGTGGGCTGTGTTTTATAGGCAGGCAGGACTGCTGTCTACTAAAAGCCCAGCTCATGCACAGTATCTTTTTTTTTTTTTTTTTTTGCTTCCAATCTCCCCTGTGTTAAACCAACATGGGTGGGTCTTCTAGAGAAGTGGTTGGCAAACTTTCTGAGATGGGTCAGAGAGTGGGCAGCATATGGGCTTTGGAGAGGCAGCATAGGCCGTGTACTCCATGCTGTAACCACTCATACTCTATGGTTGTAGAGTGACTGCACTCACAAACAAAATGCGAGCCAGGGATCCCTGGGTGGCACAGCGGTTTAGCGCCTGCCTTTGGCCCAGGGCGCGATCCTGGAGACCCGGGATCGAGTCCTACGTCGGGCTCCTGGTGCATGGAGCCTGCTTCTCCCTCTGCCTGTGTCTCTGCCCCTCTCTCTCTCACTGTGTGCCTATCATAAATAAATAAAAATTAAAAAAATGCGAGCCAGCGGGCATAGCTACATTCTGATAAGACCTCACGAAAATAGGTGTTGGGTTGGATTTAGCCTGTTCCTGTACCTTGCCAACCTTTTTTCTAGAAGCATGACCATGATCCTAACTATGCAGTGTTTGGGTAGGTTGAACTTAGTGCTCATTCTGCTATCTAGTCATTCTAGATTGAATGGAGATGGGGTAGGAGGCCCTTGCCTGGGCTGCCTGGCTAAGCTGTGTTCTCCCACTTAGTTTTCCCCAGAGTTTCAGACTGGGGTACTAGAATGTCTTCCCAGCTATTGATTGATCGGAATTTTTATCTTTGTGTGTCACAAACCCTTAAGCATCCCAGAGGAAAGCTAAGCAGGTGCTACTCTCTAGCACCAATCCCTGCCCTAAATCTGAGTGTGACAAAAGCATGGAGACAAGAAAGTGCTCACTTTACAAATGGAGGACCTGTCTCCTCTTCCTCATCCTCTTCTTCCTCTTTACAAATGACCATCACCCTTCATCACCTTGCACAGTTAGGACATCTCTAGACTGCAGATGGTTCTTGCTTTTGCATGTAACTCTAAGCACTCAGATTCTAGCCCTGGGCCTCATTGTCCTGCTCCAGCCTGGTGGCACTAGCTGTTTCAGACAACTTGTCAGGCTGATGATGGGCTGTGCTTGTCTCACTGGTAATGCTGGACTTCTCAAGGTTTAAGCTGATATTCTAGGGGTGGATTTTCTACCTGAAACTTGTGTGATAAAAGCCAACTGTTCATTCACTTACATCCACCTCAAAATGGTAAGAAGGCAAGAATAGGACACTCTAAATATCCTCACAATTATTTGGGTGGGGGAAGAATCTGCTGTGTACCTACCATGTACTAGGGTTTAGGTTACAGTCCGCTGGAGCTTTTGTTAAGGCTGTACATTAGAATCATCTGGGGAAACTTTAAAACTCCCAAAGCCACAGCCCTATTAAATTCAGTCAGACCCTTAGGGGATGGGACACAGGCATCAGCAGTGTTTAAACTCCCTGGGTGATTCTAATATACAGTCACAGTTCTTGCAAATGGTGAATTTACCTGGAGAAACACTTTCCCAGGAGTCTCCTCACTGGTTTCTCTTGCTTTGGTTTTGTCCCCTCCAATCCATTCCCCACTGTAATCAGAGAGATCTTTCGAAAATGTGAATAGGACCCAGTTACTCCCCTTGGCATTATCTTCAGGATAAATTCCAAAGTCTTTGATACCAGGTCCCTAATGACTTCACCCCACACAACCCTCCAGCTTCATTTCTTGCCTTTATATTATTAGTCCAAAGACAAGGATCTAAATGCAAGGCCACAGACAAATTCAGGTGTTTCAAACTTCTGAGACTGACTTTATACATGCTGTTCCCTCTGCCTGTGAAGAGAAGAAAAGAAATTCTCTTCTACCGGAGTCTGCCTGGTAAACTCCTACCTATCCTTCAAAACCCAGCTCAAGGGCAGCCTGGGTGGCTCAGCAGTTTAGCACCGCCTTCGGCCTGGGGTGTGGTCCTGGAGACCCAGGATCGAGTCCCACGTCGGGCTCCCTGCATGGAGCCTGCTTCTCCCTCTGCCTGTGTCTCTTCCTCTCTTTCTGCATCTCTCTGTGTCTCTCATGAATAAATAAATAACATCTTTAAAAAACAAAACAGGGATCCCTGGGTGGCGCAGCGGTTTGGCGCCTGCCTTTGGCCCAGGGCGCGATCCTGGAGACCCGGGATCGAATCCCACATCGGGCTTCCGGTGCATGGAGCCTGCTTCTCCCTCTGCCTGTGTCTTTGCCTCTCTCTCTCTCTGTGACTATCATAAATAAATAAAAAAAAATTAAAACAAAAACAAAAACAAAAAACAAAACCCAGCTCAAGCATCTTTCATTTTGTGAAACCTTCCCTGCTAACCCTCCCACCACCCCACTTCATCCCCAGTTAGTCAGTCATTTCTATTATTAGATGGACTACTTTATATCTAATAATTTGAAAGTCTGGTCTCCCAACTTGATGATGGGCTACTCCAGGAAAAGGGCAGCACCTTGTTCATGTCTGTATCTCTAGAGCTCAATACTGGCCTGTACTTCATAGGTACCCAAATCCCCTCTGGAATAAGTGAATGGATTGGACAGATGGTTGAAAATACTAGTGGGTGAGGTGGCTTCTGTGCATTCTCTGGAATCTCAGAGGTATAAGAGACTTTGAAAATTATCTGGTTGTGTTCCCTCCCACAGTGGCCTTCTAGGCAGTGGATAAGCTGGTCCATGGCACCTGCTACTTAGAGACCCTCAGTGACAGAGAGCCCACAACCTCCTAATGCTTCCTGTCTCACTGATGGACAGTTTGGGCGGTATTTTGTTTCCTCTGTCTCTATGTACTTTGTCTTTGCCCTGCTCCATGGGGGCCCCCCAGAATTAGCATGCATCTTCTGTGCTGTGACACTGCAGAGATTTGAGGAAGATCCCTGTCCACTCCTGGAGTCCTTAAATGGCAAATTTGGGGGTCTTCCCAACATCCAGGCCATGCCTTTCAGGATGCACCAGCATGCAGGTATCCTTTGAAAAATCCTAAAGCTAAACAAAGCAGTTGTGAAAAGTGGCCTTTCTCTGGGAAACCATGTGGGCCCCTGCCACAGCCCTGGGAGCCTCTGCATCCCTTGGTGGGGCTGGGGGAGAAGGTGTGAGCCTTGGGGCTGTGATGCTGTTGACCAAGTTGGAGGAGACAAGGCCCAAGAGAGCTACCCAGGAGTGGGAAGTAATGACCCCCAACTGGCCAACTTTGATCACATACCCATTTCCCTTTTGAGGGAGCTGCGATGTAATAGGGGATAATCTCTTGAAGGGAAAAAAAAATACGAGGAGGTAAAAGTATGAAAGGGAGACTCATCTCCATCTTCAAAGTGAGCCAGCCGAGGGGCATTATTTTTACATTAGCGGCTAGTTACAGTAGATTGACCAGGGAATGGCGGCGGTCATTAGGAGCTAATCACATTCTTTTCAAACCAAAATTGCCATCTCATTATATTCATCCATTATCAATCTCCGCTTTCCTCTTCTCCTGAGAGCACGAGCTCTATTTTTACACTCTTCTCTGAGTGTGGAAATGTTTGCTACTCTTGAACAGTGTTGCTTTTCTAAGGCAATCATTTGGGGATGTCCTAAAAGATGCATTTGGGAACGTCCTCATCCCTGGAGGTCTGAGCTATGATATTCATAGAATCCTCAAAAGTCAGACCTGCAAGGATCTTTTGAGAAAACCACTGCCTCACTTTAGAGATTGGCAAAGTGAGGTCTAGAAACAGGAAACGACTTGCCTGAGAATACAAATTGAGTGAATCCCTCCACTCCTCCTCCTCCTTTCCATCCTTGCTCTCTCCCTCCCTTTCATGGCAACCATCTGGGGTGCTAGGCACTGTGTTAGGTCCTAGAAATAATAGCAATGGATGTGGGACATAACATCTTGTGAACTTTGTTCTAGTTGTGGGAAGGTGCAGATAATAAACAAACAGACAACATAATTACTGTTTATAAACCAGTATATATCATTGCTGTAAAGGCAATAAATAAGGTGCTGGCATAGACAATGCCTGGGAACAAGGGACTGCTTTAGGTAGAGTGGATTGCACAGAACCTTTTGAAAAGGTGACATCTGAGGAGGAAAGAAGCTGGCCCCTGACTTCCAGCAGCTGGCCTGGCACTCACAGCTGGACCTTGATGTTTTACCGTTGAACACAAACAATTTCACAGAATGCCAACACTGGACTAGGCTACTCTGAGACCAGGATGGGGCGAGCAAAAATGGGATCACTGCATAGTCCTAACTAAACACAGAAACAGTATGAATATTGTCCAAGCCAAAACAAACAAAACAAAACAAAACATGACCAAACATCTCCCTATCCTCGCTAACAGGAGTGACTGTTGCTTCTTTGCCACTTACTGCTTTAGACCTCTGTCCTGTGTCCCTTTCTTAGAGTTGGGATTTATTAAGGTCCCTAATCTTACTACTTCCTAACAATGTCCACTTCCAGAACAAAGCCCCAAATCATCCAATGCATCTCACAGCCTAGGAGTCCTTTCTCACATCCTCTTCCTGACATGGCCTGCAGTATTTTAACCCAGCTTTAACTCCAGGCGTGTTCCTACTTGTCTCTCGCTGACATATTCAGGCTGAACACTAAATGGTGAGCAGAAGCCAGCCATGGCAAGGGCTGGGGGAAGAATATTCCAGAATATCCCTTCCAAGAGCTGAGGGAAAAGCAAGTGAGGCCCTGAGGTGGAATGAGCTTGGTGTGTTCTGGAGCTTGAAGGGGGGGCTCTCTGGGGTCAAGAGAATAAGAGCGAGTGACACATAATGTGGACGGAGAGGGTGCGGTGCACAATGGGAGTCGGTGAATCACCACCAAGAATATGAATTTTACTCTACATCGATGAAAATGCTTTGGACGTGTTTTAAGATGAGGAGGCTGAGTCAGTACTAGCAGCGTGATAAGTGGCGAAGAGCTCTCCCTGAACCCTGAGAGTTCTCTGGTGAGCCCTCCTTTCATCCTTGCTGATAGACTTCCTAGACTTTAGGATAAGATCTGGTATCTACTCCAGACTAACCCTCCCTGTGGCTGCAACCCACTCAGTCACCCATCCGGCCTTGCTCTTAGCCGTGGAGCTCAGAAAGCCAGACATTCCATGTACCTAGAGAGACCCTGTTGGAGGTCATGGCTTTTTAGGCCCTGCTGTGCTAAGTCAGTCCATAGGATGGTACAACCTACCTCAGTTTCCCCACTTACTACTTTAGTTCTCTGCTCTCACCAAGGATTGCCCCTGATGCCTGGCTGGTTCCTTCTACCTGTAGCTTTGGCCCTCCTGAGACAGGAGGGTCCTTTCTGAAACTTGCAATTCTTCTTTGGACACTCTTCTGTGTAAATAAGCCTCCTTCAGTTATTCCCAAATAGTGAAACCTCAGAGCACAGAGCAACTCACCTCCAATCCAAGGCTGAGAGCGTCTTGGTCCATTTCATTTACCCATTCACCCACTATCTTCAGCAGACTCTGTCAGTTATGATGCCCCTCTTACTCTCTGTGGTTTGACTATATCCTTGGAGATAATTGGATAGGATGTGCCCTGGGGTGCAGCAAAACCAGGTCCACGGTATGCTGACCAGGCAGTTCCTGGCTGCCACCTCAGGGCACAGCCAAGGGCTTACTTCCTCCCAGCGCAGTCCAGCCTGCCAGGACTTCCTTGCATCCTTGCACACCACTGCAATCTCTTGGTGCAGGAAGACTCCAGAGAGTCTTCACCAAGGAGGCACCATTTCCCCTGGGTCCTTCATTCATTTATCTTGTCAAGAATACCTCTTGCCCACCAACTGTGCACAGGAGTCAGGGAAAAGGCAGAGTTTTGCCAAAGGCAGACAGTCTAGAGTGAGTATTTCATCACTCTAAGTCTCAATGAACTTTCCTGAAAATTAAGTCAGGAAATTCACAGCCCTGCCATGTTTCTGAGCCTGGCCTCCAGGCTGGGTGGGTGGGAATGGGTGCCCTGTAGATGCTGGACCTGCCGGCACCACAGATGCGGCTGCTCTGCTGCACCTGCGAAGTGGAGGCAAAGAGGAAGTGGCTATTTCTATGCTCAGTGCTCAGTATAGTGAACGCTAAGAATGGTTTATAGCCTATCACGCTTAAAAAAAACCCAAACAATCCAACATCAATCAGGTTAGAGGTAAGGGAAGGTTTAACTATACGGGACAACACGGGGAATTTTTTGCTGATTGGTGTTTACATGATTCTGTGCATTTGTTAAAACTTATGGAACTGTATACCCCTACCTCCCCCACCCAAAATGGATTTTATAGCATGTACATTTAAAAAATGAAAAATGATGGGCATTAAGGAAGGCACAAGATGGGATGAGCACTGGGTGTTATATGCAACTGATGAATTACTGAAAACTACATCTGAAACTGATGATGTACTATACTATATGTTGGCAAGTTAATTTTTTTTGGCAAATTAAATTTAAATAAAAACAAACAAAAAAACTGAAACACAAATGCACCCCATGGAGTTTTGTGATGATTAGTGACTACCCCAGGTAACTGTCATGGGTTCCTCATACCATGCCTGGTACATAGGTGTCTGGAGGCTCTTCTGTCCCAGTCTTGACTAAGGATGTGCTCTCAAGTGCCCATGGCTTACTTCCAGAATTCACTCTCTGCCTCCCTTTGATCAAAAACATCCAGTTTATTGTCATAAGACCAAAGATGGGGGGTTCCTTACAACATCCATCCTGGTTTGCCTTGGACCAAAGTACTTCCTGGGCTATATAGGATTTTCATTTTAAAACTGAGACCATCCTAGATAAACCATAACAAATTGATCACCGTAGAAACAGGTAAGACCAAGCATTCCAGAAGTGCAAAAGAATTTTGTGAGCTATTGGAAGCCTAAGGTCTGGTCTCAACGGAGGTCCATGAGTTCAGTAAACACCCACAATTACTGAAGTCCACGGCTAGCTGATGGATGGCAAGGGTCCCCATGGATGGCCGCACTGGTTGCGCACAATGCAAGAGCATCAAGTCTGAGGGAGCATCAGACATCTGGTAGGTATGATAGATTTCTGTATATATTATGAACAAGTATCTTGAGACAAGTGTACCTCTTGCTGTTTCACCTTAAGGAGCTATATGAGTTAGTGGTGGCCCTGGCAGGGGCCAAGCTTGCAATCAACGCCTCTTTCTGTGCTGAAAAGCACATGCCTTAGGGATTATAAATGTGGATAGAGAAGGCAGGAGAGGATGACTAATGACATCTACTCAGAGTGGCATCAGGAGAGCAAATATTATTGCGACCATGTCACTAAATAGACTGTAATTTATGAGTTCTTCTGGGGAAGCTGAGTAGAAAATCAGATGGCAGTGAGATGGGGGTATTTGTCTGTGACAGGAACTCTGATCAAGGCGGAATAGTTGAGTGCGTGTCTGTGTGTAGAGTCACAGAGCACCATTTAAAAATCCCCATGAAAAGCTACTAGGTCTCTTTTAAAGACACATTTTAGGATGGCAGTTCTCAAACGTTGGTAGCGATTCAAATTTCCTAGAGAACTTGGTCAAATGCAGAGGCCCTGGGCCCTGTCCTGTGTCAATGAGCCTGCATCTTAATGTTCTTTACTGACTCTCCAGGTGATTCTGATACATGTCACATTTGAGAACCACTGCCTTAGGCAGGAAGGTAAATGGAAACAGCAGATTCCTGGGAAAGAGTCAACTTAAATTTTAAGGCAGATACTCGTTGCCACTACAGAGACAGCGATTTGAGAGTCGTACTACATTGGTGCCTTTCTTTAAGAAATGCTGCTTTTTTAGGGATAGAACTATTCTTAACCACAAAGATTTTTGCCAGGACTTTGTAATTCAATTAATATTTACTATTTATATACTATTCTGCAGATGCTTCAGAGAAGAAAGAGGAGTAAGACCTGGCCTCTACCTTCATGAAGTCTACTGTCTACTGGGGAAACTCAGACTAGGATACCTCTTTTCCTCCCAGCACTGAGCTCATGATCTGGGGAATCTCTGTGTCCTATTCTAGGCTACTGACTGGTGGTCCATACACTGTCACCATCTTCATGCACGAGCTCCTGGGTGGCTGTCTCTGGGCCAACAGCTCTTTCTTGAAACAAAGTCAGCCAGGGTTAAGGAAGGGCTGTTAAAAGCCATGATTATTGCCTTATTGATTTTGTCAGGAAAATGGGGCAAAGGGCATAGAATTCCTCTTTATCTCCCTAACTGGTTTCATTTTTATTTCTCTCTTCATAGACAGGCATCTTTGTTTCTCTTCTAAGAACTAGTTTGCAACATTTCAATTCTTTCATGTTTCCAAGGCCCTGCATGCATGGTTATCTCTGCCATACATGCTACTGCCTCCATCCAGCCTTCTTCCACTTTTCTTCAACTCAGTGTCTCATCTTTTGTGAAGATTCTGATTGATCTTGGCAGTAATAACTGACAAAAAGCAAAAATAAACAACACCTCCACTCCCACCCACATTCATCCTGGGCTGCCCTTACCCACGTGCTGCAAAGCATTTTATTTAGAGTTTCTTATGTAAGTACATGGTGCAGTAAGACCATGATCTTCCTTTAAAGTAGGGTCTTCATTTCCTTTGTTGGGGCTTTCTAACTATCTCCAGGGCTCCTGAAAGTGTGAGGTACACAGTAGGTACTCAGTAAGTGTTTCTGGCCAAATGATGTAGAAGTAAACACTACCAGGCTTCAGGAGTCCACACTATGCAGTCAAATATTTCACAGGAGATGAAATGGGGACCCAGGGAGTGAACAGCCTTGGCCAAGTCCACCCGGCATGTCAGGAACAGATTGAAAGCCAAGTCTTGACTCATGGTGAAGGGATTTTTCTCTGGAACCATCTGAAAATTACTCACTTGGTTGGGGAGGGCAGCAAATATTAAATGCAGCAAATACTGTTTGTTGGGTTACAAACAGAATTATAAATAGAAAATAAAAATAAGCTCAAGGGAAAACACTGAGTTAATAGTCTCCTACATGAGCTTTTTCCTGCTAGAAAATCTTTCAAGTCTGAACCTACATGGTTTACCCACCCACTGGAAATGGCCCATTTTCTCCTTATTTTAACCCATGGGGAGTGGAGTGAAATGACCAGATGGAGTCCAAGTTGTCCTATTTTGGTCATTGTGAATTCCCAGAGTTGGAGAACAGCCATGGTTTTCCCTGCCATGACTGGGGCACCTGCTACTAATTCCCCAGGTCCCTCCCCAGAATCACTTTTGTTTGCAAGTTAAGGAGGGGGATTAGGATCTCTTAGGAGTCACCAGCTAGTGGGATCCTCTGTGACTCATCTCATCAACTGAGGAGAGAAAAAGTTGTGGGAGAAGCACAAGATCTATCTGCCTATACTCAGTTGGCCCTGAGCAGAGGAGAGGACACTAGGGTGTGCTGAAGCATCCATCTCCATGGTGACGCTCCATCTGAAGGCTGCCTGCCACCATCACCTACAGATGACTAGGAGAAATGTGGCAACCCTGGCTTCACGCCACAGAAGCCATGCATGCGGCATGTCTGTCCAGAGCTGGAGAATGAACAAATGTTTGCTCTTCATTAGGCTGTATCCTATTCCTCACAGCTGTTCCTTGTTGCCTTAAATAGTCTTAATGGGGCTGTAATAACCAGATACCTTCTGGTCGTCCTACTGGGCTCATCATTCATTACAATGACAGACTGCCTGGATTGGTCTGGGATTAAAATGCTTCCCTTCTCTCCATGACAAAGTCACGTCTTCGTGCTGTTTCACATCTTCTTGGAGCCTGCTACCATTCTTCTGACCATGATGATGCCTGAGCTCTCCGGGCTCACAGACAACTCTCTCTAGCCAACATCTCCTAGCATTTGTTGGCAGACTAAGGTTTTTGTTTTGTAATGGGGGAAGGTGGGGGGAAACAGGGCTGGGAGAAATAGGACAGGGAGGAGGGTAGACTCTGCAGTCCAAGATCACATGCAGAAGCCTCTTAGCTTCAATGTGGCAGTGTCCTGTCCATTGCCTCTGTGAGGGGTTATCGCATGCCTCATGGCATCAGATGTGACAAGCAGCAAGAAGAGTAGGTGAGGTGATGGGTCTGGGGGTACAGGCATGGCAAACACTGGTGACTCCATGGGTCTCCTTAGACAAGTGTCCCTTAACCTTAAAAGTACATTATAGTTACTGAGAGAGCTTAGAAAATACACCCACCTCTAGGAATTCTGATTTAATTGGTCTAAAGGACAACCTGGGCATTAGTATTTTTAACAATTTCCTAGGTAATCCTAAGGGGCCATGATTGAAAGCCTTCAGGCCTCATATTTGTATGGGAGGTGCAGTTAATTTGCCTTAGGTCTCCTTGAGCTCCTGGGCACCAGGACCCCTGGTCAATCATGGTTGCTAGGACTTGAGATATAACTATGAGGGTGGTAGCCCCAGAAAGGGGTCCAGTTGGATGATCAATAGGAGGGAGATCCAGCTGGCCTGGACAATTAGTTTCTGCTTAGGCTCACAAAGTATGTGGGACATAAGGATTTTTTAGATCACTTGGACCCACATGGCATAAACATGGAAATAGAGGTGGGGGAAGGAGAATAACCTGCCCAAGATCACCCAGATACTTAATGAAGGAGATAGGACTTGAATCCAGGCCTTTTGACTATTAGAACAATTCATACATGACTTCAGGTCATTGAACTTAAAAAATATATATATATTGAGAGACTCAAATTTACACGCCAAAAAGTATGAGCTGATTTTATGTCTCTACACGAGAGAATGTGTGTGGGCTTGTCTGGGCTCTGGGCCCAGTCTCCTGGTTTGAGCAACTCCATTTTTCCTTCAATTAGTGTCCCAGCCGCCTACCCACCTACCTGCCTCTGGTCTCCCTGCTCTGATCTATGCCAGACAATTACATCTAAATGCTAATTCAACTTTAAAAAATGCTGCTCCCTTCCATGGTTCCGCATGACCCCTAGAATAGAATCCAAACTCCTTAGCCTGACAAATGTCCCCTCGCTTCCCCACTCTTAGCCCACTCCTTCTGATAACTCCAACACCATCTCCCTGTATGCTTTGTGCACCAAATATAGTTTGCATACCAAAGTGATTCTTGTTTTCTTCACTCAACC